TTCACAGCTACCAGGGGTTCTCTCCTCCAATTGTCTGGCCTTCCTCCACCATTTTGATTCCCATTGTTGATAGCTGTCCAGTTGTCAGGATGCCATGTACCTTGTTTCTTCTTTGGAACAAAATCTGATGGATAGCCAATAATTTTGTAACAATTTTCCTTGGTGTGCCCTTTTATCCGGCAGTGTTCACATTGCATAAATTGTTTCTTGCCTCGATATCCTTGTCCTCTGCCAGTTGCTTGCATAGCCAAGGTAGGATCACCTCTATCAGTCACAACATTGGCACCCACACTCTGCTGACTTTCATCCTGTACAATCATTGCATGGGCCTGATTCAGCGTAGGTGCAGTTGTCTTCATGAGAATTTGCCTTCTAGCCTGATCATAAGACTCATTCAATCCGCTGAGAAATTGCATAATTCGTTGTTGATATATTTATTCTAGATTTTCCTTAGACTTAGGGCATCCGCAATTAGAAAAAGGGAAAAGATATCATACTCATGCCAAAGTTCCTTTAGTTTTGTGAAGTAAATTGAAACTGAACTAGTTCCTTGTGAGAGAGTTGCAATTTCACGATGTAATTGAAAAATTCTTACTCGATTGACCTTATTGAATCTCTCCCATAGATCCTCCCAAACGAGATGGGCATCTGATGCATACACAATGCCACCGAGGAGCTCCTCACACACATTGTTCATGATCCATGACAAAACTATAGCATTACAGGTCTCCCATTGCTCATGTAAATCAACTGTCTTGTAGGATTCCTTTTTGCATGTACCGGTCACAAACCCTAGGTTCCTCTTTCCCGAAAGGTGCAATCCTCATCGACCTACTCCATAGCCCATAGTTTTCTGACCCAGTGAGCTTTACCGGAATTGATACTGAGCTCGGAGTGTCTGAAGGACCCAAAAACAGAGGATGTGTGTGGTCAATTGTGTTTTCTGCCATTGTTGCATCAATAACAGCAATTGATCAACAAAAAATTGGAGAGATTTAGACCAGTAATCAGCTTAAGAGTGTCACAACGTGAGATTCCAGTATCTCCCGCTCTGATACCATGATAAATTGCAAGGATTTGAAGGTGTATCAATGGCAGAAACTCTGAGAAGAGAGAGACGGTTAAGAGAGGAAATGAACTACTGTTTCATTGAAGAAGAAGAACAGTACATTCATACACCTAACTACCATTAACTTAAGATAACCCACTAACTAATTGACAGCTCATTAACAACTGCCATTAACAGAAAAAACACGTGACTAACTAACTATTACATATGCTATATCTATATTACAATATATACCTGGTATACCAGGGTAAGGAAGTTGCCGGTTTGGCCCAAGATTGATCAGTGATGCAATTTTCAGAAGTTGCAAGGGTGTCTAATTCTTACTCAATGGAACAATGTTCATGATTCACCAGGTTATGTATCCAGTTTTACGCGATGCTGTTCACTACATACATGGAGATGCAAGTTAGAGTATAGTGAAATATATTCCTATGATTACCATCTTTATAGCAGAGAAGAAAGGGATTACGAAGCTGACTACTGTGGCTACTATTTCTGTCTATACTACATGGCTTTCAACAAGCAGCAAGGAACTCAATATCTTCCACATTTTGGTTATGAAATTTCCCAGTTTGACATGCTACTTTGGCACTAAGTTTTACATTCGGATACTATTTTTCTTGTATTAGCTTACTTTGATTATATTATGCATTTTAGATCACTTTTTACAATGAAAAAAAGAGTATTATGTGTTTTATTTTGATAAAAGGTATTATATAAAGTCTGACTCATATTTTTTTTATAAGATTATGTTTCAAAAATTTATAAACTATAACCCCGAGGCATCATACCTAGTGGATTGGCGGTAAAAAAAAAGTAAAAAGCAAATAAAGAAGATAATTTTAGTTAATGGTGTCTAACAGGTCGGGTCTACCCGTTTTCGGACCGGCCCAGATCGGTTGAAACCGGAACCAGCCCGGACCGGTACAAAGGGGGCCGGGTGGGCTGGGTTAATGGGGTAAGGGGGTTGGTCCGATCACTTAAGTTCCATCGGTTAACCGGACAGGTCAAATTCGGTCAATGCGATTCACTGTAGAACCGGTTAACCGGCCTGGTCCGGACCGGCCCAGACCAGTTTAACGACTACTTCCAATTTTTTTTTTTAGTTGTTCCTGACTTTCTGACTGTTGGCGACGGTTTGCTGGGCCAAGGGGTCGTTGCCCAGCGGCTGTTTTGCACAAATAGCCCATTTTTGGGCCATTTTTTTTTAAAATTAACACTTTTTGTAATTACCTAATTAGCCCTTTGAAAAACTATAAATACAC